TGCATGAGTCAAGCTCAGGAGCAAAGCCATCCGTCTTCATTCAGAATGAATGTGCACCGGAAATGATGCAACAGCTGGAAAGAGCAGACCGTCTAGGTGAATGGATGAATGAATGAGAGGAGAATAATCCTCTTCAGAGCGCAATCTGTTTCCCAGCAGCCCAGCTTACACAACCATCTGCGGCAAAGGCAACAGTTTAGAGGCTAATGCACTTTATCCTTCAGCCTTATTTAGCAAAATGCTGGGCCTATCCAAACCATGGACGCTAGATAATGGGAGAAGACATTTTTCCAAGTAATTCAGAGCCATTTCTACTGTCTAATCTTACAACAATGCAAAGGGCATCTGGCATTTTCAAATTCTGTTAAAATATATAACAAACCCCACAAAAGTGGAGATACAGGTTTAGTCCCTCCATATATCATTAACTCATTCGAGCTCCAGAGGGTTTATCATTCAATTATTAGCACTCTCTGCATTTTAATAGTGTTGTAACATGACTTTGCTAACCTCACATCATGGCTCAGAAGCTTCTACATTACAAGAGGGAATTCATTCATTTTTCTAGAGAACACGTTCATTCAGTCAGTGGTGGACAGTAACGAAGTAAATGTAATTAGTTTCTGTACTTAAGTAGTTTTTCGTGTATCTGTACTTTACTGAAGTTTTTCCATTTTGGGCGACTTTTTACTTTCACTCCACTACATTTCAAAGTCTAATATCTCACTTTTTACTCCACTACATTATGAGAAATCTGTTGTTCCTTTTGGTTTATGTGTGCATAAAAACGTAACATGTCAAAACGAAGGAAGTGTAAAGCAAGAACACCAATCAGGGCACAGCGGTCACTTTGTTTTGAGCTTGTTTTGACCTGTTAGACATACCGACCCAGTCCAAGCACACGGTTCAACATCAGTGCAGCAGTGTAAAATTTTGGGAGTGTCTGTTCAACATAAATGATGAACTAACCTAACTTTGTGTAAACAGACCACAATATAGAAATATGTACTCATATGCAGTTGTGACTGACGTGTCTTTATTCTGAATTTATACAAACATTTCATTTTATAGTAAATTCATTTTGGCTAGTTTATGTTTATGAACAGAGACCTACAGATGCAGTTTAGTAAAGGAAACTCATTTGTGAATCTGAGTTTAAAGTTTTTATTAAACTTAAACTTGGAACTAAGTTCAAATAAATCTTAAACTGAAACTTTGCTTGTTTGTAAAAAGTGATTTCAGAGCCACTCAGTTCTACCTGATGGAAACTGTTTACCTTCAGTGTTTTGTGCTTATGATAATTTTAATAGACATCAGCATCACTAATTAATGACATTCTGTTAAAAGACTGGTTTACCAAGAGTGACACTGAGTATTTTCACCTAAAGTGAGTTAATGAAGCAGAGTCTTGTTACAAAAATGGTAATAGGACATTAAAGTCATAATGAATCTTTTAGTACTTTTACTTTCGATACTTTCGAGGACTTCTACTTTTACTGGAGTAATATTTTAACTCTACTTCAACTCAAGCACATGATTTATGTTCTTCGTCCACCACTGAAAAAATGGGCCTATAGCTAACAAAATAACCCACTAATGGGGAAGAATGTGCTATCAAACAGCCCAGATTAGACAAAAAAGGCATTTTCATCAGTATAGACACGTTTTTATAGACATATATAGACATTTACAGGCAAATAACAAAGTTTTTGAGAGAACTAATGTCTGGTGGTCACATCAAGTCAGTTTCAAAGGGTTTAACAAGGACATTTCTCTGGCTTTTTACATTAGCTTTAGAGTAGAAAGCTAGGCTTCAGGCTAGGCTAAGATAGGTGAGCTAATTGGCTAGCTAAGCTAATGTCATAATGCAAAGAATGTTTTGAAAATTCTGAGTGTAAAACATAAACTTCATAAACTTTATGAATAATTCCTTTGCCCTGGCGTTTTTGTGTGTTTTTCATCTTTTGTTGTTGTTGCTAGCTGTAGCCCTTATCTTGCTAGCTAGCAAGCTAGCGGAGAAAAGTAGAAGATACATCACTAATTCATGAATAATTAATGGTGCTGTTTGCTTCATAAAACTCAGTTTGAGTGTAAGAATTTAATATTATAGTTTTACAAATATGAAGTAGCCCACCTGCTAGAAAAACCAGCATACATGCACCTTTATGCTAAATCAGCACCGGACCACCGTAAAGCACCCTGCTAAAAAAAACATAGAAATTGCTAAGTGTTTCTTTTGGTTCCTGATAGTTTTGTAACGTGTTTTGGCTTTTTTAATGGGTTGATATCACAACGTAAAGGATCTGAACTGTTGGAAACCATTCAGCCAATTCGTATTGTAAAGCAAAGCCATTAGGTTTTAATCATTGGTCAGTTTTCAGCAGGACAGTTTAGATCAGTGTGTTGTCTGTTCTGTTTTTCCAGCACGGATTTTGAAGTATTTTATTGTTCTGACTGATAAACAGCTTTGTCCACCATCAGATCATTGGCACGTTTTGCTGCATTAAGTTCACATTTACATAGAATTATTCTCTCCCTCCTCCTAAAAGCCTTATAACAAACTTCATTTGAGCTAATTCAGTCATGGAACTGCTCCTAAGGTGGCATCGGGGATTCTCTCAAGGGGAAATGTTGAGGGTAAGTCAACAACGGCATGATAACAACAGCATTAAATGGATGGTCTGTCACTGCAGGTCAGTGTGGGGGGTGTGAGCAGTGCAGGAACATAACCTCATTATGTGAAGGGATAATTCAGCAGATTACAGGCTTCAGATTTGGGGCCTGTGATGCAATCAGGTCTCCCTCAAGTGGCTATTCTTGAAAATACATGTGGAGTGTTTGCATAACATCAACATCCATGGATCACACAATAACAGGAGAAAGGAAAAAAGAAAACTGTAGGACAGAGTTATAAATGGACAGCTTGGAAAGGGGACAGATAAAAGAAGGAGAGCAGAAGAGAGACAGAGTGGAGCTAATTGGCTTGTAAAATGGCTCAGTGATAGTGAACAGGAACAATGATGACATAGTCAGCATAATGGCTTTACCAAACCATTGCATCAGCAGCCCTGTGGTTATGGGTGCTGCACTGCACTTTTTCTGCCTTATAAACAGAGCAGAAATTCGTGAATAGTTAGGGTTGTAATGCCTGGGTTGAAGCTTTGACTTGATCTGCTTCTACAAGCCATGGAGAACTCTTTCAGAATTTGAAGGAACCACTTGGAATGGAAAAGGGTTTTTTCATACAGCAGTCCACCTAATTAGGACACCTTATACACCTTTTACTGGCCACTTTACTGGAAACACCTACCTTATACGCCCACTCACTGGCCACTTTACTGGAAACACCTACCTTGTAATTTTGCTCACTGGCCACTTTAGTAGAAACACCTACCTTCTACTTCCACACACTGGCCACTTTATTGGAAACACTTACCTTATTCTTCCACTCACTGTAGGAGTTCCACCTACCTTAGTGGTTTATTTTAGAGGTGTACAGTTATAGACTGTAGCCCAATTGTTGCTGCACAATTCATCACCCTCCCTCCCCATTCATCATGTGGTCAGTTTCTGACCACAGAGCCACGCTTGACCAGATATAATTGGCGGTCCATTCTCAGCACAGCAGAGACATGGGTATGGTAGGTAAGGTTAAGCTAGGATGAGAGTCAGCCCACCACCCAAAAATATCTAGCCAAGACCGACTCTGTGGTCAGAAGCTGACCACTAATGAAGAGCTAGAGCAGAGGTGCTCAGCTCTGGTCCTGGAGATCTTCCAGAAGCATTTTTTTTTGAAGAACAAAGTGTTCACCTTAGATACACATACCTAGATGCCACGTTGGGTCCAGTCAGGCACGTCAATGGCGCCACCATTTTGGGGAGGTCAACATCGCTGCTGGACTGCATTCAGTACCATTGCAGAGCGGCAGTTTAAGAAAGATTCTGTCCAAAATTACACTATTTAAAGAATATTGCTCTCAGAAAAGGGGATAGGATTATATAACGGAGGGAACACAGCGATCCACCCTCATGTTTGTGTGATGTTTGTGTAGATATGGCCGTGTGGTTAATGAGGCACAGAGAACCTGTTGATGTGATTGTTTTTCCTCTGGTTTTATATTAAGCTTATTTCATGTAATAGTCTATTCAGGGGATCTAAACTTTATATAGTAGTTATTTATTTACAGTGACAGTTTAAGCTTTGTAGCTAAGTTATAGCATTCCTCAATCCATGTAGGTATTCATAATAGATTAATGTTAGAACCTTCTCACATGAACCTGAAGTTGGCTTCTTATTCGCCAGCTTCTTGTTCAGATTTTCCCGTTCCACCTTAAATGGTGCATCAGTCAGCATCTTGTTCGAATTTTCAGTCATTGAAGCTGCATCGTTTAAGGTGGAACGGGAAAACTCGAACAAGAAGCTGGCGAATAAGAAGCCGACTTTAGCTTCGTCCTTCTTACTGTGTTTTGGGGTGTTTATTTTATTTTTATGTGCATTAAGATTAGAAGTGATTCATACATTGATGGACTTGCTGATGTGTCTGATTGTGTTTATCGTGCTAAACTAACGTCAAGTGCAGACTGAATACTTTCCTGCTGGTCCGGACGGCTAATTATCATGATCAGTTATTAAAGATAAAAAAGCTACCGAGATCAGCTCCATGCAGCCTGGATTAATCTGTGTCTGAGGATTATAACAAAACAGATTTGGTGAAAATCGGTTGAGTAATAATGAAGATGTGGCTGATTTAATCCTGAGACTCTTCGTCTCTCAGTACAATTGAATTTGTTCACAAGCGGATCTTGACCTCTCCAACATGGCGGACGTGCACACGTGTTGCCTCAGATAGAGAACAACGGACAACGCGACGTCTAGGTATGTATATCTGTGGTGTTCACTAAGATTCGCCCTTAGTTGTCATAGCAAAATCCACAGAAACAGAATTCTGAAATAATTCTGAATTCTATTGCTGTGACATGATCCACAGTGACCATCAGGCTGAACGAGAGGAGTGCATTCTTTATTCATCATCTCAACATAAGATTGCATTATTCTTTATCAAATAAACACTAAATAAATAATATGAACACATTTACATTTTTATATAACTGCTTGTGTAACTGTACTGGTCAGGAATTAGAATTTCATTGAGGGGACATATTTTGACTTTCTCACCACTGAAGTCGCCCTTTTATGTGATTATTTAAGAAAGTAAGGAAGAAAATTTTCTCAATGCAGCACATGAAAATCATAACTTTGAAAATTAACATATGGGTCTCACTTTATTTGGATAGCCCACTTTAGCCCCCTATAGATTATTTACAGGCGTTCAAACTGTTAAAAAACTATACGTTGAAACTCGGATTTTGACCAGGTTTAGGGCTGGGTTTAGGTTTTGGGTTGAGGTTAAGGTTGGGGTTAGGATTAGAGCAGGTTTAGAGTTAAATGATGGTCAATTTAGCAGATATTTACTTGAATGTAGCTCAGTAAATTAAGAATCTACAAAGCATCTAAACCAGATTATCCAAATAAAGTGTCACCAACTTGTAAACCACATTTCCCACAATGCTGGCTTACCCTGCCAAAACAACGCCCTGCATTTCATCAGAATATGACAGCGGATGCACAAATAAACACGTTCCTTAAAATACAGCACAGGTTCTTTTTTCACCAGTGCTTGACCCAACACAGCACTCTAGACTGCTTTGTTCACCTTCAGTGCAATAAAGATTGGAGCAGAGCTTGTAAATGATATGTTACACTATTTCACGCTACACATACGAGTCCCCTTAGTCTACGTGTAGTCTCTGGGAGAATCTACTGGCCCACGAAAGGAGGAAAATGTACAACTTTTGTCATTCTCAGTGCAAGCAAACCACGAAAATCACACATTTTTTGGATGAGCATGCTTACGTTCAGTGTTGTGTTTTTGTCTTATTGTCTTTTTTTTGGTGAATATAGTCCATCCCCTCGCTTCTTCTTTGAGTCTGTATCGCCCCTAAATGTTCCTCGTGGAACTACAGCGGTCCATGGACTCAGACCGGGGCGTATGTAAGGGCAAAGGCTTCAGATGAACAGGAAGATACTCGGTCAAGGCCGATCCAGGCTGGCTGGTGGTGTTGAGGGAGCTGCAGAAACGGTCAGAGGTCAGCTCCACCAACTCTTCAGCCAGAGGTTGAAGGCTGCACAGATTCAAGCTGTTCGTTCCTCTTCCTTTGCTTTTTTTTTTCACGTTCTTGTTGCTGTGCAGTAAAAAGAGTCCCCCTCCCGACCCGAACTAACCCCTGTGTGCTACTCTACACGGCTCTATTGGAGTGCAGCAGGCTGGAGTGCAATGCTCTATGCTAGACAGGGTGCTGGAGGCTGGAGGCTTGTGGAGAGGAAAGGCTGAGAAGGAGTGTTCAATTCAGAAGAGTGTTCATTTTTACTGGTGCGGCTCTATATCACATTCTCAAAGAGCTGCATGGAGCTCATGATGTTCTCATCCTGAGAAGAAACGACAGCAGAGGCTTATGAGTGAAAGGCAGTCAAGCTTTACATAGAAATGTAAATAGAAATGTGAGTTGCCAGTTTATTAGGTAAAAAAAATGAATTAACAATTATATAATGTTCATTTTTGCATCTGTAAGAATCTTAAATCTAGTCAATATATCTAATGTTTCCCATTTTGAGATGGTTGTGCACTTATTATAAGATTATTTAGCTTATTTATAGACTTTTTTCCTCGATTTTATTAATGATCTCACTATAGTGGCAGATAATTTAGCTGGTTTCTGATTTCTTAAAACAAGCACAATTATCTGCCAACATAGTGAGATAATTTTGCTTAATTAAATTACCTAAAACAAGTAAAAATGTCTGGAAATGAAGTAAATAATCTTAAATTAAGCTTACAACAACCTCAGCATGAGAAATGTTAGATGTATCAACTAGATTTAAGTGGTTAAGTTTGGCTTCATAGCTTTTATAATGGTATAAATTCATTTTAAATAGAAATATCACCCAGAAAATGCCAAATGGTGCGACCACACGTTAATAAAAGCTGTTTACCACTCTTAAAAATGTCTAGTTTTTACAGTGTTTGTGCTTGGATACCTATACAAACCTTTATCCTGTTATGTATGTTTAATGTTTTTGCATACATTTGTTTTTCAAAGGAATAAACATTATATTACACAATAACATGTTCACTGGTATTCTGGGGTCACACCAACTGCCTTGGTGAACTAAACAAACTCAAAAATGACCATTTTTTCACTATTTGTGGACTGGTTTTGATTGGTATTGCACTATGAAGGTCACTTGGTGTCTTCTTTGTGTTGCGATATCCTGCCCACTCCTTCTTAAAAACATTTCAGAATAAAAGTCCTTTGCTCTCGGTTGTGCCGCATGATATTTGAGGTAAATCTTCCAATGAGCTGAGTTGTGATGTGACTTGAAACATAAAATCATAATTAGCCCTTTTATTACTTTACTTTATATGTGTGTGTGGTTGACCACCTGACATTTTTAGACTTTGGTAGATAAAAACAACTAAAAAATGAATGCACTGAATTTGTATTCACATAAAGGATGTACTGTGGAATAATGTCATCAATGTCATATATTTGTTTAATTATTTAGTAGTAAAATATGGACTTGGACTCACAAAAATGTCATCTGGACTTTGTAGGTTTACAGTTTCTGAGTGTAGCCTGTCTGAGTGGCTTGATGTGAAATGCTTTCTTCTAGAGAAAGTAGCCCAGTCAGTCAACAGTGATGACAGTAGCCAGACGTCTGAAGAGTTTAAAGCCTCTAAAAGCTCCTTCACAGAGAGTTATTACATGAAATGATTACTAATATGCTGCCTGATGCCTGAGACACTGTTTTAGGATAGTTTTGAGGAGGTATTGGCCTGTATTTTTTGAAAAACAATAGCAGAGAGGTGCATGCAGGGTGTTGTACAGCAAAATAGTCCTGGAAGAAAAGTCATTTCTGACTTTACCATCATCAATATTACATATTAGCACTCAGAAGGAACTTGTAGGTTCACTGGTGGTTTTGAATACTAAATAAAATGGTCTATATTTGTGTTGTAGACATCGTGACACCCTGGTTCCCATCACCACCACTGTAAAGAAATCAACCTCTTTACACTGAACAGCTCTGAATGACTTTGTTTACATCTCAACCGCTAAGTTAAATCAGGGGAATTCCCATTTAAAACCAGTGTCAGTTACAAATACCAAATGTCCATTCAACTGAAACTGAAACCACAGCCTTGGTAACCACAAGTTAATCATCAAAGGCAGCCATCCATTCCATCACGCAGGCTGAACATACAACCAACAATAATGTACTTCTAGTTAACAGCTCTGAACAACACCGTTGAGTTTTAAAGGGAAGATATTGTGTAGAGCGTGCTGGGGTGCGCGATATCACAAAATTTTAATATCACGATACTTCAAAACATTTTCATGATACATGTTATGCATCACCATATCGCTGTTTTCGGAGAAAACCTCATATCTCCATTTTTGACGTTTTTCAGTTTTTGACATAATGTGAAAATGCCTGTTACCCTTTATATTGTGTGTAAATTTGACATGATGAAGAAATGGCCCAAAATTACTTGGAAAAAATGTCTGGTTCCATTGACTTACATTAAAAGTAGGCTTTGTTTTTTCCTTCTCCTGTAAAGTTACTATTTTGGACATATGAGGTTTTCTTCTGACAACAGCGATATTTAGTATTTAGTTAAGATTTAGCAAGTTGGAATAGACAAACCAGTGCCACATATAAAAATACTATAAAAACAATAATAATACTCATTATCACTACATATATAATGATTTTTCTCTAAATCCAATTAAATCCAGCCCTAAATCCAGTTAAACAGACCTAATTTTGCTCACTTTGTAATGAAACGTAGTAAGTGTTCTTTAAGTACTGGTGATATCCACGATGTGCTCAGAAAAGTGTAGTGTGAAATTGTTCCTGATGTCGATAACATCTTGTCATATTGCCCACCCCTACACAGAGTGGATTTAAAGTGGAGTTAAAGTGTAGACATTGTGACCCTTCTCTACCATTTCACATCAAACCAGTCTGAATGACAGTTTACATCTCAAATATTCATTTACCCCTTTAAATTAATGCAGTGTGTGGATTTTGCATGTTAACATCTAAACGTACTACCAAAATGGACGTTGAGCAGAGTTAACTAGCAGCTAAACGCTACACTACATCATGCTGTGTGCAGTAAGTATTTATAGCTCCTCTTTTTCCATGCACAGTCTGTACCTATGGATGGGTTGCAGTCTGTAATTTTACACCTACAAAGTGCAGCTGCATGGTAAATGATTACTATGAAATAGCAACAATCTCAACAGAAGAAATATTAGATGTATCAACTAGATTTAAGTGGTTACGTTTGGTTTTATAGCTTTTATAATGGTATAAATTCATTTTAAACAGAATCGTCACCCTGAAAATGTCAAATGGTGCGACCACACATTAATAAAATCTGTTTACCACTCCTAAAACGTCTAGTTTTCACAGTCTTTGTGCTCGGACACCTTTACAAAGCGAAAACATCTTGTCATAATGCCCACCCCTACACAGAGTGGAGTTAAAGTGTAGACATTGCGACCCTTCTCTACCATTTCACATCAAACCAGTCTGAATGACAGTTTACATCTCAAATATTCATTTGTCCCTTTAAATTAATGCAGTGTGTTGATTTTGCATGTTAACCTCTAAACATACTACCAAAATGGACGTTGAGCAGAGTTAACTAGCAGCTAAACGCTACACTACATCACGCCGTGTGCAGTATGTCTTTTTCCATGCACAGTCTGTACCTATGGATGGGATGCAGTCTATTCCTATGAAATAGCCAATGAGTCTAGGCGTAAGGACTGCTGTTACAGTATGTTAATGATTTATTTAGTTTGTTACTCAGTCAAAGCGAAAATCAATAGAAAATTCAACTGCGCTTTGCTTCTTCTCACCTTCTGACACGTCTCGATGAACTCCTCAATAGTGACCACACCATCTCGATTTCTGTCCATTTTCTGCAGGAAGCAGAGACATCATCAGAGCACAAAGTAGTGTTATAGTGTGTGTGTGTGTGGGTGTGTGTGTGTGTGTGTGTGTGTGTGTATGTGTCAGTCTGTCTGCCAATCATCAGAATTACCTGGAAGAACTTTTCCACGTGTTCAGATGGGGCTTCGTCTCTTACACTGGGGTAAGTGTACCGACCCATCATATCATAGATAGACTTCATGATCAGAAGCATTTCCTACAGACACAGAGTTCACACATACAAACATACAAGCAAACAGCTTTATTCATCAGGCAATAGATATGGCTGCTTTTTAAATATGTTTAAGCATCCAGCAGATGGTGCTGCAGCTCTTAGAAGTAAAAGAAGAGCCAGTTTTCTGGCCAGTGTTGATGATGGGACTTTACACATAAATACAGAATTTTCAAGAAGACTGTTTTTCTCATTAAAAAGTTCAGAAGAAACCTTGAAAAAGACTCAGAAATAAGATGTGTAACTAAACAGAATGTAGTTTCTGTTTTGTTAGCATAGCTCGGTCACTATATGTAATAGGAAAGAAAACAAACATAATAAGTCATAGGATACCTCTTTGGTGATGTACCCATCTTTGTTGATGTCGTAAAGGTTGAAGGCCCAGTTCAGTTTTTCTGTCACAGAGCCTCTCAGGAGCACCGAAAGACCAATCACAAAGTCCTGCCATAGGAAACATCTGTTAGACCATTCAGAAAGTCCTACCATAGACAAAAAAACATCTACCAGACCATTCACAAAGTCTTGCCACAGAACAACCGTCTATTAGACCATTCATAAAATTATACCATAGACAAAAACATCTACCAGAGCATTCACAAAGTCTTTCCATAAACAAAAACATCTACATGACCATTCACAAAGTCTTGCTATAGACAAAACATCTAATAGACTATTCACAAAGCCCTACCATGGACCAAAACATCTACCAGACCATTCACAAAGTCTTGCCATATACAAAACATATAATAGTCCCTTCACAAAGTCCTACCATAGGCAAAAACATCTACCAGACCATTTACAAAATCTTGCCATAGAAAAAAAACATCTACCAGACCATTTACAAAATCTTGCCATAGAAAAAAAAACATCTACCAGACCATTCACAAAGTCTTGCCATAGACAAAACATCTAATAGACCATTCACAAAGTCCTACTACAGACAAAAACATCAGACCAAATGACACAAATAGAATATCTAAACATATATCAGACTAATGAAATAGTACTTTCATGAAATACAACACCATCGGAGAAGATGGACAGAGAAAATCATGTAATGGGTGAGGTCACAGGACTGCTCACCTCAAAGCGAATGGACCCGTTTCTGTCCAGATCAAATGCATTGAACAGGAAATGGGCGTATGTAGTGGCATCTGAGAACAGGAAGAGAACGCGAGGCTCAAGTCTGGCACTTTCGTCATCGAAAATTAAATGTGTATTCTACCTCTGATGACAGCAGCTTAATCGACTGATTGAACGCATTTGTGAAGGGGATGAAATGAGGTCTTCATTACCTCCTTGAGGAAAAAACTGAGAGTAGATTGTCTTGAAAGTTTCCTCATCGACCAGCCCGCTGGGGCATTCCTGAAATGGAAAGAAAAAGAGGGACTCATTAAAGGTCTAATTAAACCCACAGCAGCTCAGCTCCCTGTCCTACATCTCCATTTACACTGGATTTCTGTACTGCTGACACTTTTGTCTGTTGTGTCGCAGCATTGATATATATATTTACATTTATGTAAGACTGTCAGAACTTTCAGCATTTCCTGAACAGATTGTTCTATATGATCCCACAAAAAAATACTATTGAATTCTTTGAAATGCTCCTTATGGTGATGCAGGTTTGTTGTGACAGTAGCCATTACAATATTATTACAAGCTAGTAGTTTATAATAGAGCACTTTTTAAGCTGTACACATTGGTGTGGTTTGTTCATGCTTTACAGCAGTTATTCACTCTATATGCAGGTGACTGTGGTTTGAGCCTGACTCATTAGAGAACACCACTACTCTAAAATTAGACACCTCCTCTGCCACCAATCTAACTATGTACATGTGATTTAATGCTAACAGTGTGCTCACTGTGGAAATTCATATCATGCTGACAATAAAAATGTGATTATTTGTGCAGCCCTATGGCCCAAACTACCCCACCACCGAAATCCATTCTAACTACTCAGAATGCCCTCAACTCAAACCAACCCTCCTGTTACAAGTGACACATCTTAGCAGGAACATAACACCTGCCCATCAAACTTGCCCTCACTAATCAAAATGCCTCTCCAAGCCAAACCAACCCTTACCAGCCAAAAATGACTGCAACCCCAATCGTTTCCACTCAAAAGGCTCTCCCACCCAAACCAACCCTTATCACCCAAAATGGCCACATCCCATACCAACCCTTATCACCCAAAATGGCCACATCCCATACCAACCCTTATCACCCAAATGGCCCACCCATACCACCCTTATCACCCAAAATGGCCACATCCCATACCAACCCTTATCACCCAAAATGGCCACATCCCAAACCAACCCTTATCACCCAAAATGGCCACATCCCAAACCAACCCTTATCACCCAAAATGGCCACATCCCAAACCAACCCTTATCACCCAAAATGGCCACATCCCAAACCAACCCTTATCACCCAAAATGGCCACATCCCAAACCAACCCTTATCACCCAAAATGCCCACATCCCATACCAACCCTTATCACTCAAAATGCCCCAACCCAAACCAGTCCTTCCCAGCCAAAATGTCCCTAATCCTTCCCACCCAAAATGTCCCGACCCAAACCAACACTTCCCACCCAAAATTCTCCCCAACCCAAGCCAATCATTCCTACCCACAATGCCCCCAACCGAAACCAATTCTTCACACCCAAAATGCCCCCCAACCCAAATCAATCCTTCCTACCCACAATGCCCCTAGCCCAAACTAATCCTTCCCACCCAAAATGCCTCACACCCAAACCAACTCTACCCACCCAAAATACCTCCCAACCTGAACTAACCCTCCCCTCCCGTCTTTCACAGCCCAACTTGACTGACAGGTCCTCACGTTTTTGAAGCCCCTGTAGAGGGACTGCAGCTCCTTCTTGGTGAACTTGGTCTGAGCCTGCAGCTGCTCCAGGCCCTCTGGCTGATGCCGGACGGTGGACAGCTCCAAGTCACTGTCACTGCTGTCTATGGGAGAAAAAGAGCGACGCAAGACAGAAAGGGGGGGGGGCAGGGAGAGGGCAGGGAGAGGGCAGGGAAAGGGGTGAGTCAATGGGATGCAGGTTAAAAGGACAGGATGGAGTGAACAAGCAAGTGGCAGCAAGGGAAGGAGGAGAGGAGAAGGGGGGAGTGAGATTGAGAAAGAGTTAGCAAAACAGTGGAAGAAAAGCAAGAGAGGGAGAGAGTCAGAGAGAGAGAGAGAGAGAGAGAGGGAGAGAGAGACAGAAACACCGAGAGAGAGACAGTGAGACAGACAGAGGTGGAAACTTGAAATAAAGGGAAGCACTTTCACGTTCTGTGTGATTGGTTAATGTGAAATTGGCTAAATAACTTCAAAAAAAGGAGAGCACTACCATTCATTACTATTGTAATGATGTGACTACAGCTAAACATTACTGGCTTAAAGGAGAATTCCACTCATTTTTGAAAATTTCTGCAGAACTCAATCATTGACATGTAAACAAAGTCATTTAGAGTGGTTTGACGTGAAATGGTTCATTGTAGAGAAACTTACTGACTGATTTCAGTCGTGGTGATAGGAACCAGGGGTCACCATGTCTATGACCCAAATATAACCATTTTATTTACTATTCAGAACCACCAGTGAACCCACATGTATCTTCTGAGCTTTTAAAGGTATTGATTATTGATTTGTGTACCTCTCCACCATAAATGAATGAAAAAATAGATTTAAGGCCAAAAGCATTTCGTAAAACTATCGTAAAACAGTGTCTCAGGTAGCAGGCAGTGTATTCATAACCATGTAATTGTAGTAGTAACTTTCTGTGAGGGAGTTTTTAGAGTTGGACGTCTGGTTCCTATCACCACCAGTGTTTCTCTATAATGGAGCATTTCATACTAAACCACTCTGAATGACTGTGTTAACTTCTTAGCCATTTAGTTACGCAGAAATTTTGAAAAATTGGAATTTCCCCTTCAGTAGCATCTCAGCTCCTATGTTTTCAGTAGTGCTAGAAACATGCATCCAATTTCACATATGATATTAAAGCAATAATTTGGTCAACACTTAATTTTTCACAATACCCACTTTAATCAAAGGTAGTCAATCAGCCATGTTTGGTATCTAAAGTTGGGTTCTTTAGGTTTTTAGCTGCAGCTACAAGGCTAATGTAGCTAAACAGTAACGGTAGCTTACAGCATGTTGAGTGTTTACTTATCTCTAATAGACTTTATCATTTGGTTCATGACGTACTAGTATCTGTAGACATAGACATGTTTTGTGTGGTCCACTCTACTTGAGGCAAGGGATTTTTTTTTCCCACCAAACTATGACTTTACCAGTTGCTCCTTATATTGAGATGTTCTACGAATTCGCCTTTAGCTATGTCCATTTTTCATGAGGTTCATTTTTTGCTTCTACATTCTACATAGCTCATAGATTCTACATTCATGGACGTAGATCTCAAACATGTACACCGATCAGGCATAACATTGTGACCACCTCCTTGTTTCTACGCTCATTGTCCATTTTATCAGCTCCACTTACTATATAGGTGCACTTTGTAGTTCTACAGTTACAGACTGTAGTCCATCTGTTTCTCCGCATACTTTGTTAGCCCCCTTTTACCCTGTTCTTCGGTGGTCAGGAACCCCGTGGACCCTCACAGAGCAGGTACTATTTGGGTGGTGGATCATTCTCAGCACTGCAGTGAGACAGATGTGGTGGTGGTGTGTTAGTGTGTGTTGTGCTGGTACGAGTGGATCAGACACAGCAGTGCTGCTGGAGTTTTAAACACTGTGTCCACTCACTGTCCACTCTATTAGACACTCTTACCTTGCAGGCCACCTTGTAGATGTAAAGTCAGAGACGATAGCTCATCTGCTGCTGCACAGTTTGTGTTGGTCATCCTCTAGTCCTTCATCAGTGGTCACAGGATGCTGCCCACAGGACGCTGTTGGCTGGATATTTTTGGTTGGTGGATTATTCTCAGTCCAGCAGTGTCACTGAGGTGTTTAAAAACTCCAGCAGCACTGCTGAGTCTGATCCACTCAGACCAGCACAACACACACTAACACACCACCACCACATCAGTGTTACTGCAGTGCTGAGAATGATCCACCACACATATAGTACCTGCTCTGTGAGGGTCCATGGGGGTCCTGACCACTGAAGAACAGGGTAAAAGGGGGCTAACAAAGTATGCAGAGCAACAGATGGACTACAGTCTGTAACTGTAGAACTACAAAGTGCACCTATATAGTAAGTGGAGCTGATAAAATGGACAATGAGCGCAGAAACAAGGAGGTGGTCAGAATGTTATGCCTGATCGGTGTACATATAATACAACAAAATGTATTATACCTACATTTGAGACGAGTAAATTTTTTTTGTTTGTTTTGTTTGTTCTGAATCAGCATCACATTAATTGCAAGACTGAAATATTTCCTTTAAAGACTGGACCCTGGATCTGGATTTGGAGGTTTAATACTGCTGTAATTGTAGAACTAGTGCAGTTTAGTTTCAGCTCAAGATTTAGGCTTTAAAAGACTCATATTTTATCAACCCTCTAAAGTCTAGGCTACATTGAACTACTCTGTAACTGTGATGAAACTGCTGCGTAAGATATGCAGTTATAAGTATGAGGACTTCACCCATTCATGCTCTGCACACAAATGAGTTCTATCATAGAAAGTGTTGCTGGACAAGCTTCCCAAAACGCTGGCCAAAATCTCATTCAACATAATGAGAAACTGTATTAGACCACTACACTGTTGAGAGTCGCTGCACAACTTTTAGGCTGTTTTCACAACAAGTTTGTTTGCTAAAGAGTTTGTTTTTTGTGACACTGTATCACTTTCATTTGGTTTGGTTGGATTCACACTGCAACATCCAAAGTGGACCAAATTATGCACATGGATGTTCACTGATACCCTCTTAAAAAGGATGGTTCTTCAAGGTTCTTTAGTAAAGAAAATGGTTCTATATAGAACCATGAACTCTCAAAGAACCCTTTGCATGATTAAAGCGTTCTTGAGATTGATGCAGAATGTGCTATAGACAGTTATATATAGAAGCTTTTTGAAAAGGGTTCTGTTTAGCACCCGAAAGGGTTCTTCTATAGTTACAAACTTGACATCGTAACAATCAAAGAAACTTTATGGTGCTACACAGAACCATATTCAAAAAGGTTCCATATAGAACCATCTACAGCACATTCTCCATCAATCTAAAGAACGCTTTAATCATGCAAATGGTTCTTTGAGTGTTCATGGTTCTATATAGAACCATTTTCTTTACTAAAGAACCTTGAACAACCATCTTTTTTAAAAGTGTAGGTCAGAAATTTAGTGGGAATAAAAGCACTGAGTTACTTTCACTTTTGTCACCATTTCTGCTAAGAAACAATTAAAGCTTTCGCTAAATTATCATTGCATAAAATCCAGATCTTTCCATCCTGTATATTCTTGATAAAAACGTATAACCTTGCGTGAAAACAGAGATGCATAACATCTACAAGTATCAAAGTTAAAGCAATAAAAAAGGCTAAATTGTTATCCTGTTATGACCAATTTGTTCAATTATGTCAAAGTGTTGTATCAAAAACTTTGCGTGTGTCAAAATCAAATGCATTGCTCATTGCTCACCTGCCATTATAAGCCACAGCTCAAACTGCAGTAACACCATGAGTGTCTAGTAAAATTAGTAAAATTCACTTTCACCTGAGCGTTCACACTCGCCAAAATAAACCGAATTAAAGGAAAAGTTCATTTTGGCGGCACAAAACCAGGTAGGTGTGAAAACACCTTGAGTTGGCAGTTTAACACACTGCACTGGACTCTACTGTAGCTAATTCAAAGGCAACTTTAGCCACTGTGCTAACATTAGCTTAAAAACACAACATAAACTCATTTTCGTATTAGGCTAAAACGAGATTTTTGCTCTCATTCTGTAAAGCTTGTCCAACCTAGCAGCAAAAACTATGCACTTGTACTCACCGTCATTTGTGGGCGGAGCATAGCTAGGTCCACTGAAGTGTGGGCCCACCTTTTAAGGTTGAAGGGATTAATGAGTTGAGCTGAATTAGTAAAAACAGTCTCCTCCAAACCAATCACACAGTAAAAGACAGAACTGAGGGACGTGGAGAACGACCGAACAGAACATGGTGCAAACGGAGAAGAGTTTACTGAAGAACGACAAGGAAGAGGAAGAAACTTGAAGCGAAAAAACAGTCGGGTTGGTTTTCACCGTGCTTATACTCACCGTCTTTACGTGCACATACACAAAAACACACACACATACACACACACACCAACAAAACAGTGAGAGAGGGAGGGAGATACGTGGATGATAGAGAGAAGAGACAGAGTGAAAAGGGGAGAAAAGAGAAAAAGAGTCAAGTCAAGTAAAAGCATGTAGAGTCACCAAAAAGATCAGGAACGTTCAGGCAACACTTTTTTTTTCTCTGATATTTACAAGCACAGATATGCATGCAAACATGTTACAGTGTGGAAGAGCAACGTGACGATATGCTTTCCTGAATACATTGCAGATATCATCAGTATTTCACTGGTCAGTTATGTATTGTGTCTGCTTCAAATGTTCACCTCAGAAAAAAACATATATGTGGTGATCAATGATGTGCATTCTGACCAATTTTGACATTTGCATATGCATAAGAGATCAGAAATGGATATTTGGTTGACAAAGGATGGTAAAAGCAACAAAGAATGTATTTGAGGATATGCGTTGTGGGGCAGTCGTGGGCTAGGGGGTTAGGGAACCAGCCCTGTGACCGGAAAGTCGCCGCCTCGATCCCCTCGGCCGACAGTACGTGGCTGAAGTGCCCTTGAGCAAGACACCTAACCCCCAGTTTTTCCCCAGGCGCTGTGGATAGGCAAGTGTGCTCACTGCCCCCTAGTGTGTGTGTTCACTAGTGTGCATGTATGTGGGCGTTTCACTGCACAGTTGGGTTAAATGCAGAGGTCTAATTCCTCTGTGTGCAAACACAGCTGGCTGATGGTTCTGAATTCAATTCAATTCAATTTATTATGCAAAAATAGGCAAGTAACAATCGGTAGGACTAATGGAGACTGCCTCTTCAGATAAGCTAATAGGCTAATGCTACAGCTAACCAGCACAGTGTTGAATGCTGATGAGGACTCGTCGTCTAGATGATGTGTAAATGTGTTAGTCTGTCAGAGAAATGTCTTTTTATTGTTTCTGGACTTTAGCTAATATCAATTAGTTAGCCAGCAGTTTGCGTCGAACTTAGCTAACCTGGTTAGTGATAAAGCCTCGCCTTTATTTGGCCATGCTAACTTCTCTGCTAACTTCCTTAACAAAGCAGCCTTAGCAATGAGCTCTTGGGTTTCAGAATAGAAAGTGTAATACATAATTACTCACAAATATAAGCAAAACAGGCATATTTGATGGTCCAGTTAAAGCATAACAGACTAGTGGGTCATTTCACTGAGTTGCTAGCATGTATGTGGATCATTCTACTGAACTGGTTAAGTCAGAGTTCTGATTTCAGACTTCTGACTTGGACTTTAGTCTAAATTTCTTTCGCCCTGAGTGACCCTATACTTTAATTATGTTTATTTTATTTTTAAAAATAACTGAACATTCAATTTTCGCACTACCAAAACATTCATAACCGTACTGACACTTTAACAAGTGTTTCAGTGGTGACTGTTTCGGTAGTGACAGTTTTAGCTCATTTTAAGCAGAACTCAAAAAACGCTAGTCAGGTCATGACCAGCAACAGCTTTGAACAGCTGTACACTCATACAATTATAATGTTTTTCATTAAAACACAAAAAAGTTCACTTTTTGCAGAAAATCTTTGCTTCGGTAGTGACAATTCTTAATGTTCCACACTGATTTTCAGACATTGAGACACATTTACTTCAAAACAGTGAGATCTAACTGCTCACCATGTGGCCATGAGGGACAGGGATGCAGCTTTAAAATGCAGGGGTGCGGCTAAAATGAGGCTCCGCCTACAGACTAAAACACTTTGTGTTTCACTTTCAAAGAATGTAAGTCTAATTTTTTTCACAAGTGTAAATGTAGGGGTCAGGGTTTGGGACCGACACCACTCTCATCACAAAGTACCCTATAAATGATGATATTGTATATATTTGTCTTATTACTATCTCAATTAATGCCTTGGATTTAAATAGATCATAACATAATCCTGTAAATAAGTAAGATCTGAATACTTAATTGGTTTTAAACAGTTTTTTTCATTGTGGGACTGCAGTTTAAACTAATTCGAAAAAATAGTCCTTATATTTTTTCGTCTTCCTGTGATAGAACATAACAAATACCCAATTACCGATTTCAGTATTCAAATATTGACCCCTGGAACGGTCAACCAAGTATGGAGTATCTGTGCACATCCCTAATCGTGATAAATATCGTTTATCATAAAGATGCCTTTGAGTATTGCGATATTACACTTCTGCCATATCGCCCACCCTTAAACTACAGCAAGACTACCGTACATCGCAAAGCAATCTGGGGATCCCTCAAAGTCTGATCTCTCTCACTCTCTCTCTCTCTCACTATCTCTCACTCTCACTCTCTCTCACTCTCTCTCTCTCTCTCACCTGTCTCCGTGATGTCTATAAGTCCAAGTAAGTGCATGAGTTTGAGGAACATGAACACCAGGCAGACGATGCCCACTGTCTGCAAGCCCTCCGTCTCCCATCTCACACTCATCCTCTCTCCCGATCCCTTCTTTTATCACTCCTTCAGCTTCTGCTTCACAACAAACTCCTCTACCTCACTTCTTCCTGTTGCTGGCTCCTCCAGCCCGGATCAGCTGAACTTCACTTATCCACAGTGCACAGCCATAAAGATCCACAGATGAACTTTACAAGACTGTGACCAGATGCTGAACGCTGGAAATAAGACAAATAATCCTTCTAAACAGAAAAATGATCCAACATCCAACGCCTCCCTCAGGTGAACAGGGAAACAGTTTGGAAAACAAACCACGCCACCAAAATTAATGCCTTGAAAAAAAATTCCCAGAAAGATGAATTGATCATGTTTATCTGCAGGTTTGTATCCAGATTAGTCCTGAAGCCAAAACCCAGACGAGAGCCAGGATCCTTTTGCGTCCTCTCTCATCCTTTCTTCTTTTCTTTCAACTGCGCTCCTCTTTTCCCTTTGCGATCTAATTAACCTTTCACTCTGTCATCATTCGCTGAAATCCTCAGTGGGAATTCAGGCCCTTTCACGAGTTCTATCAAAGTACAGCTTCATGTCAGACACCCAGGGGATAAGCCTGTCCCAGTTAGACATCAAATCAAGCATGATGTACTTCATATACTTTATGTATTTAATACACAAAGGTTTAAACACCTTCAGACAAATGACATGCTTTATTGATTTTCTGCATGAAAATAATGCAGTGAACACACTTAAACATGACAACTGAATTCACAATTTCACACCATTTGCTGAGAAAGAAATAAAACAAAGAATACAAAAGGTGCCATAACTTTTTCACAGGCCACATTTAATGTTTTCCTGGTCTGGACTGCGGGCAGACCAGTTTAGCACCCGGACTCTTTTAATACGAAGCCATGGTCCCTCTCCACTTTAGCCTGGACGGCGCCCATTATATCCAAGAGGACTTTCAAATTTTGATTCGTTGGACCACATGACAATTTTCCACTTTGCCTCAGTCCATCCTAAATGAGCTCAGGCCCAGAGAAGGCGGCGGCGTTTCCAGATCCTGTTTATATACGGTTTCTTCTTTGCATGGTAGAATTTTAACTTGCATTTGTGGATGCAGTGATGAACTGTTTTCATAGACAATGATTTTCCAAAGTGTTTCTAAGTCCATGCAGTGATTTCAACTACAGAATCATGTCTGTTTTTAATGCTGTGTTGACTGAGGGCCCAAAGATCACGACCAGCAAATACTAGTTTTCAGCCTTTTCCCTTGCATACAGAGATTTCTCCAGATTTTTTGAACCTTTTAATGTTATTATGTACCGTAGATGGTGAAGTCTCTAAGTTCTTTGCTATTTTATGTTGAGAAACGTTATTCTTGAAATGTTGCACTACTTTTCTTTCACAGAGTGGTGAACCCCTCTTCAGCTTTACTTCTGAAGGACTTAGCCTCTCTTTTAATACTCAATCATATTACTGACCTGTTGCCAATATACCTAATTAGTTGTGAGATGTTCCAACAGGTTTTTTTTTATTTTACTAGTCTTTTGTTTCCCCGTCCCAACTTTTTTGAAACACGTTGCTGGCATCAAATTCAAAATAGGTCTATATTTAACAAACTTTCTCAGTTTGAACATTTGTTGTGTTTGTACTATTTTTCATTAAATATAAAGTTTAAAAGATTTGCATATCGTTTCATTCTGTTTTCATTTACAATTTGCACAGCATCCCAACTTTTTAGAAACAAGGTTGTGTATAAAAATCACCAAATAAACTGTAATTGTACATTAAAATGTGCAGAAGTGTGTTCTCTGTAGAGGCTGTGTTCACTTTTTTTCAATTGGAAAATCAGTAAAACCACGTAATTGGATCAGGAGTACCAAACTGTATAGATAGTGTATGATATTACTGCACAATTACATATTATAGTTGGTTAACTATGATAACATTGAATTATGACATCTCAGGTCAGTTTTAGATGAGGAACAGTGCCTCTTCTATTAGAGACAGTGAAGTTCATAATGATGTATATAAAAACAGTATTACCATGGCCCTCACACCAGGCATAAAGTCTAAAATTGTTCAATTTTAAAGTTGTTAGAACTTCTCTGCTCCAATAAAGTTTAAAAATAACTAATTTTAAATAACTATTTCATGAGTATACACTGTTAGAAATTAAGGTTCTGTGCAGGTACATTTTTTGTTCATCAAGGTACAAACACTGTAAATGTTCCCTCAAAGGTACAACAGTGGGTTTAAGGTCTGATTGTGAACCTTAAATAAGTTTTTCCAGGTGAAAAGTATGTATCCGTACATTTTCATAACCAAATTTTTTAAAACAGAACAATAAAATAAAAGCCTGGAGACGAGACGGGGTGTGTGGAGTCAGTACAGCTTAGAACATATCATTTCAGTGGATTATGGTTCAGTTATGTTCCCTGACTAAAGGTACTGAGATGAACCCTTGAGGGTCCCACCCCAGTGACAGTTCAGTACCTTTATTTCTGAGAGTGTAGATGTGTGGACACACATGCACATATGTGATATTTCTGGTTTAAAAATAGTATAAACGG